ATATATATATATCCCCAATTACCAAAGGGAGCCTTATTTAAAGTGTAAAACAGCATTTATTAATGACTAATAATATCATAATGGAGCCTTATAAATAGTGTACTGTTTTTACACTTTACAATAAGGCTTCCTCATGGCATTTATACAAGTTTATTAGTCATTAATAGTATACTTACGCTCTTACATTTTACAGTAAGGCTCCCTTTGTGGATATTTTTTAATGCAGTAATATAGTACAATATTATATGTAACACATGTGTTTTCAATACATTATTGTGCTTACAACCTAGTCTGAAATGTTTAATATAGTACCTTTAGATGTGATATGTACATGAACAGATTTGTCTCACTATTTGGCAGGAAACTGGACAATTTTGTCTCTTTCTCGCTCTTAATTAATACATATATTATTAATGATTTTTAAAGTGTTGAATTAATAGTAGAATTAATAACCTATTTATAGGGGAGCCTTATTGTAAAGTGGTACGAAATTCTTTTAGTGTAAGACTCTGAGATGTGAGGCAAACGATATGCATAAAAGGTAAAAAAAAAATTAATGTTATATTTGTGTTTTAATGAAAAATATTGAGAAATGAGTATTTTGGGATCAGAGCATAGATTTTCTTGAGAGCAACAGATGTGTAACTACCCTCTGCAGACACTCCTCTGCTGCYCTGTAACTCCCCATGTCTTTGTGTGTTGACCATCTCTACGTGTGTCTGACTCCTCCTCTCATTCACACATTCCTGTTTAGCACTAATTAGTGTGCTTCTTTTCCTATCCCCCTCTGCCCCCAAGGCCCACTCCCGTACTGCACAGTCATCTTTGCGTTTGACTGTGWGAAGTAACACTGGTCCAACCTCAGCTCCCTCCTGACCTCCTTTCCATCCTCCTCTCCCCCCSTCTGTGCCTCCCACTTGTCCCCCCTCATTATCTCCCAGTCCCGCTTGTGATGGTTGCCATTAATCACCTCGTTTCAAGCTGACTCTTCCTGGGCTACCGCACCAGGAAGTGTTCTATTCCCTCGCGGTCCATTAGCCCAATCAGAGCTAAACTGGGCTCTGACAATAGCTACAATAGAAACCAAGAGCAGACATCAGACAATATACCACAGAAGGACACAGACAGCAGGAGAACAACAGGCTTTATTTTGTTAGATTTGTTTGGAATTGAAGGAGATTTTCCACTTGACCTATGTGTCTCCTGGGATACTTCGTCATACTTTACTTTATTATCACACYAGACCCTCTAATTTGTCTCAAACATTCTAAGGAAAACCTCTGGGATCTGTAGGGAGCATGAAAGCTCTTTAYAATGTCTATTTTAATTCAGGTTTGCAGGTAAACTGATGGGATGGCACTGTTAATATTACAGAATTWTAAAGAATTTTGGTATTGGTGAATGGGGATGGATAAGAACCCTTGTGAGTAGAGCCCTCCTAAGTGGGTCCATTACTCTCCCCCAAAGAAACGCTGAGCTTTTAATCAAAGCTTCGTGTCTCTTTGATGAAGAACACAAGGTTAGAAACATTCAGTGTTCTGAGCTTCTCACCATCTATAAAGGAATCCTGGATATTTTTTTCTCCTTTGACTGCTCAGAGCCAGGCAGTGTCCTAAGTAGTGAGGTCTCACACAGACTACTGTCATGGAGTCCCATCAGCATTCTGTGGCAGTTGAGTAAATTGTGCTCCTAGGACTCCAAACAGAAGAGTTTTGGTAAATGGTAAATGGTACTGAACTTATAGAGCGCTTTTCAAGTCCCTCCGGAACCCCAAAGCGCTTTACACTAACAGACATTCACMCATTCACACTCACATTCACACACTGATGATGGCAAACKACAGTTTTCCTTGTCAGGGCAATGAGAGCTTTCCCAAACTTAAGATTTGGAACATTTGGGTGTTTTTTTCCTTCATTTTCTAATGGCCAGATGTTGGGTGTGTTGTCTTGTGTGTTATTGATATACATTTCACATGTCATATTTCTATTGGTTTATCTCTTAACATTTCTTGCATTTCTCTTCTTCTCTTTCTTTTTTTATTATAGTATTATTAAAAAAAAGATTTGGACCATTTATCAGCTCCCGCGCCTGCCTGCAATCCTTCAACTCTCTCCAGCTGATTGAGTGATGACGTCTAATCCAGTTCCTGTGCAGTCCTATAGACTGTTGTTGAGGTACCTACAACATGCTCTGGTTCTTTCAAGTGGGCCTGACTGCCAGCTTTTGCAAGGTAGTCGGATCTCATGCACACGCACGAATCTTTTTAAACCATTCTGGGTCTGTGCAATAATAATTAATGTTTTTTATTTTTGTATTTTTTAGATATTTCTCATATCTATTGTATACGTTTATTGAATGTTTTGTTTGTTTTGTATTGTTTTCATTGTGTTTTTATTGTACTTTTATTGTGTTTTCAATTTGGTTAGCACAATAAGGATTGATGCTTAATTTCATTGTTCTCCAGTATTCTATCTATCTATCTATCTATCTATCTATCTATCTATCTATCTATCTATCTATCTATCTATCTATCTATCTATCTATCTATCTATCTATCTA